CCATTCTGTTAGGAAAAATATTTCAGCCTAATTCATCCCGAATGAAGTTATTATAACTTGCTTTAACCTTAATTGCCACTCACTTTTGATTTTCATCTGTTACTCAGAGAGGTGGTGCAACAGAAATTAAACTTTCAGTTTGAAAAAATCCTTATTGTTGTAACGCTGTAATTCTGATGAGATGCATATATGTTGATAAGTTCTAGCATTGTAATAATGAACTCTGGTGTAGTTCCCCTGAGCAGTTTTGTGAATTTTTAAATCCAGTCTTTTATCTGACATATATGGAGATTTTAATAGATCTTTATATGCATTTACATCATCAGTGAAGGCCAGTGAGCCAGTTACAAAGGCCATCATGCAGGTCCGAGCAATGTCAATCCAATTTGCAGACCATCTCAGTCCCCACACCTTTTTTCATCACTTCGATGGGTGTCTTTTGTTGATTAACCTGTTTGTCACTAAAAATAGCCAGATATCTAAATCCTAGCAATTTCATTTTCACACTGCTGATTTTGTAACATCTAGTTATGTATTTGTCTTAAGATCAGTCATCATTGTTAGTTTTCTTGATTTCATCATGTTTTTTTTGGCCTTTAAATGTCAAGCATTAATGTCATTTATTTCATTATTGTAAAACCCTACACACATCAGCCGGCTCCTATGTTTGAGGGGAACATGGAACAGTTAGAAATCAGGGGCTAAACTCAACATAAGATATTTTTCCATCATGTTAAAAAAAATAATAATATTCTGTGTGCTATAATTGTGTGCTCCTAACAGGGCCGGCTCTATGCTTTTGGGGGCCTTAAGCAAGATTTAATTAGGGGTTGCTATCTGTCCAGACACTCCCCCATACCTATACATATTTGTAACGGTTTAAAAATAAAAGCCTGTTTTAACACTGCTTTGTTTGTGAAGGTTAAATGTAAAAGCTGAGAGCCAGCTACATTAGCTTTTTCCAATTCCATAGCATTTTTCTACAGTCTCAGCCTAAGCTAGTTAGCATGACAGCGCCATCATACAATTATATACATACAATAACATTCAGAAACCTTGTTATTTTCTCCCGTCTAATTGGTTTTACAGAATTGTCAGTGTATCAATGGCAGCAATCAACTCAGTGGCAGAAGTAAGCAATTCCTAGGTTAGACGTCGTAACTTTGCATAACATTAGCAAACTAGCTAATGTACTGTTAAATTAGCACTAACTAATAACACTGACTACAACAAGCTATCAAAATGATGTGTATTTTGAACTGGATAACTTATTATTGCTGATGATTGGATGCTCATTTAGGGTTGTGATAAGTAACAGTTTAAATGACCGATTATGTTCTCAGCATTCTCAATCCAGATCAACTACTTGTTGTTTTCCAACTAAAAGTAAAAAAAAAATGGCATACGTTTGCAGTGCAAAAAGAAAAACCTCTAACTTTTAGCCTTTCTCATCTTTTTCTCCTTGTAATGTCTCAGCCTTGTGCTAGGCCACCTCCAGCTGCTACAGGGAGACAAGGCACCACGAAATGCTAATTAGGGCTGAGCGGCAACAGCTGCGGGCACCCTATTTAAGGGGTGCTCACATGCCGTCTTGTGCACAGTCTTGAGTTCATGCCGCCACGTGCGTATGTCTCTTGGCCCAGCTGGTAAATACAGTATTGCTCTCGTATTTCGAGTCCTTCTCTCTCTGTAGTTTATCCAGCGTAAGTATAAAAAAAAAAACAAACAAAACGAAAACCCTTTCTACCACCTTTTCTGTTAGCTGCTGTAGTTTGTTGAAACCCTCTTTTGTCGAAGGCGCTGTCCTGGGGTTTCTTTCGTTTGGCCTTTATTCTCTTCCCTCCTGTTTATCAGGCCTTCTGTGAGCTCTTCTTAAACGTTCCCCCAAATAACGTTCTAACCTCACCGGGCTCGAGCCTAATGTGCCCTCTCCGGAAAGATATAACTGAGACCCTGGGCATTGTAGGGGGTTCCTCCTGCAATGCACACTGGCATTTGAGCCGCAGCCCTCTAGGTTCACCACAGAACATTCTAAAGTAGCATACATCTTCTCCCTACTCACAGGCCAAGCCTTGGCATGGGCTACCCCTGTGTGGGAGAAAGATGCAACCACATGCTCCTCTTCAGCGCAATTCATGGCTGCAATGTGCTGTGCCTTCAATCACCCAGTCTGCAGGGGAGTGTTTGGTTCTTGTCTCTTCCAGATAAAACAGGGTAAACGTTCTGTGGCGGACGTTGCCATTCTAATTAATGGCTGCCTTTCACCAGGGCCTCAACTGCAGGATTAAGCATGAGACGGTGACCTGCGATGCACCAGACTCGCTGGAAAAGCTCTTAGAACATGCTCTTAAGTTTGACAGCTGACTGCGGGAGCACAGTAGGGAATGGGAGCCTGGAGGCTCACGGGTCAGAACGCCATCTCCGATCACCCCTGTGCCTCTCGAGTCAACTGACCAGCCTATGCAGCTGGGGCGCACCTGCCTCTCTCGTCAGGAGCATGACGCCCATATGTGGGAGGTGCTTATACTGTGGGCGGGCTGGTCACCTCTGTTCAGGCTGCCCCAAGCTTGAAGGAAAAGCCGGGGTCCGTTGCAGGGAGGGGGGCCTGTGATGGACCCAGTTCAGTCCTCCAGTGCACCTGGGGTCTTGCTGACAGGCACGGGGTCTTGGGGAGGGAATTTTGAGAAGAGGCTCCAGGTGTTTGTAGACTCTGGGGCAGCCAGGAACTTCATTGATGTCAACATGGCTAAGACCCTCAACCTGCCCTTAGTCGACCTGGATACGGCTGTCTTGCGCCTACCAGACCCCACTTTACCCCTAGTAGTGGAGGTCGACACCTCTGATGTAGGTATAGGGGCGGTACTGTCTCAGTGTACGGAGGATGACCAGAAATTACATCCCTGTGCGTTCTATTCCCACCGCCTCACTCCTGCTGAATGCAACTACGATGTCGGGGATCATGAGTTGCTAGTGATCAAGTTGGCTCTGGAGGAATGGAGGCACTGGCTGGAGGGAGTGAGGCTTTCCCTAGGTGTGCATTGTTTTTCAGCTGTTTCAGTTTTACTCTTTATCAACCTGGTTTAAGGAACACCAACCACTGATGTTGTTTATTCTGTAGAGCCGACCAAGGCTCCTAAAAATAAAGTAGGATGCTTTTTCAGGATGTCCTGCAAGTCATTGGCTTGAGCAGCAGCCCCCCACCCCGTATCCCCCATGTAGAGCTGGGAGATATGGCCAAAAACGTTATCACGATAAACAAAATTCATATCGTTCAAAATCGATACATATCGCGATAAATGTCAGATCATGATTTCTTTCACGTTTGAAGGCTGATTTTGCTCCTGGGTGGTTAATTGTGGTTTTAAACTATCACTTATGGTCTGATCATGAAAAACACTCGGCAAGCAGTGGAACATTTCACTGATCTGTCATGGAAGAGTGGGAGAAAGTTTCTAAGCTGTTTTTATCAGCTTGAAAAGCACAGCTGCAATTTTTGTAATAGTCATGATTTAAGAAAGAAAACATATTATTTTTAGCTGTCTGGTGACGAGCGCTCGGCTACCCCGGTACAAATGCTAAACAAGTGGCCAACAACAGTGCTAAACTCTTTAGTTTCTCAACAACGTCAACTCGGTTCAGTAGGTCACTGCTGTCACTCCTACCACATCCATGTCAGAGCAGATCACAGTATTCAGACAGCAGCTAGCGACAACTGCATTTCTCTATGCTATCGTAGTAGTTTAAGGGGTGAACCGCAGTATATCTGACGTTCGCTGTGTAAAAGCATTATCTGCAGTGTGAATCTCTCACACCAGTCCCAGAGTCCTCCTTTTAGGTATGTTTAAACTGAAAGCGGTGATTTTGTGTCTTGTTTGATCTACAGTATCATCAATTCACCGTGTTGTGCCGGAGCGCTGCTTCAAGTTAGCCAGCAGCTAAAAACAGCTGGCCTGGAAAGATAGCGCTCTCCTGCTCTCCAATGCCTCACAGCTTCCTCAGTTTACTTTCAAACATAAACCCACTTCTTTCTTTCATTTTCGTTGCTCGAGAGTGCACTAATACTAAAATATGACGGTTTGGCGCTGTAACACGGCGCTGTAGACGTGATTTAACACCGCTAAAGTTGTTAGGATGCATGGAAAGAGGTGAGTTCGCTGTAGGTCAGTACAGTTACACCACTGACCTCGTCACTCACACTCGGTCACAGGAGAACAGATCACCAGTCGCTCCACTCAAACAGGGACTGTATAACTCCACGTTTCAGCCGTTGCTAAAGTATATCTGGCGACCCTTTTTTTACTCGTGGCCCCCTCCCTCTCTAATCAAGTCGAAAAATTCGGAAGTGCGCCCTCTCCTGGCAACAGCAGAGTAGTGGCGCTTTCCTTGCAGCAGAAAACGCCACCAGGGCTTTCGCTAAAACGTGTAAGTGTGAGAATGGTGTATTATATCAAAATTTATCGAACCTGTCTTATCGCTCTATCGAGGAAAAGTTATATTGCGATACTTATCGTTATCGTTTTATTGCCCAGCCCTACCCCCATGCAAGTAGATTTTTCCAGTTTAGTGCACTACAGTAAGCACATCATAGGAAAGCTGTCAAGGGAAACCTCTAAGCACATGACTTAGAGGATTTGATGCTGTGGAAGACTATAAATGACACATCTCTTATCTACCTTTTTGTCTTGCCCAGAGGTAAGACCTGGCACAGAGCTTGTTTTATGAGCAAATGTGATGTAAAACTATGTTTCATTGTATATTATGTTTATTGTATATTATTCTATTTAATGTTTATTGCTGTATAATTGTTACATAGTTGTATTGCTTTAAATAGCTTTTGTCACAATTTCAGATCAATATAATATATGTATAAGGATCAGTTTAGTAATTTTACTTAATTTACTTAATTAATTTTTTAAAAAATATTTGAAATTCAAAAATAGGCATTTTAAATCAACTGTTCTTTAATGACAAGGAAATATGGGAATCTGAATCAAACTGTGATGCTGGAAAACGCTCCACTCTGCTATGTGTCTCTCAACGATTCATGTCAGGTGGTTTATCCAGTGGAAGTTCATTCATTACTCTACATTTTATTCAGCCTTATATCGCTTTTTACATTTTTGGGGAATTTGTTGGTGATCATAACCATCATTCACTTCAAGCAGCTGCACACACCAACTAACTACCTCATTCTCTCTCTGGCTGTAGCTGACCTGCTTGTAGGAGGGGTGGTGATGCCTCCCAGCATGCTACGCTCTGTGGAGAGCTGCTGGTATTTGGGGACTTTTTTCTGTAAAATTCACACCAGTCTTGATTTCACATTGTGCTCCGTCTCTATTTTAAATCTGTGTGTAATTTCTGTAGATCGATATTATGCAGTCTGTCACCCCCTTCTGTACCACAGTAAAATGACTCCTAATACTACTGTATTTATGATTGTTGTATGTTGGACTGTATCTGCTTTTGTTGGACTTGGGATGATATTTCTAGAGCTCGGTATTCTGGGAGATGAAGAATTTTACTACAACAGGGTCACTTGTGAGGGGGGCTGTATCTTGTTTCTGAGTAAAACAGCGAGTGCTCTGTTCACAATGCTCTGTTTCTACATCCCTGCTGTGATCATGATCGGTTTATACCTGAAAGTATTCCATATTGCTCTAAGACAAGCAAGATTTATTCAACATGGCCAAATGAAGTCTTCTCAGAGAGGTACAGCAGTGGGCAAGACTGAGATAAAGGCAACCAAAACTTTGGCAGTTATCATAGGTGTATTTCTTCTGTTTTGGGCTCCGTTTTGTATCTGTTATTTTGTTGATCCATTCATAGGAAACATGGTTCCACCAGTTCTGTTTGATATATTTGCTTGGCTGGGCTATTCAAATTCTACCTGCAATCCTGTTGTGTACGCACTGTTTTATAGCTGGTTTAGAAAATCTTTCAGAGCCATTCTGTTAGGAAAAATATTTCAGCCTAATTCATCCCGAATGAAGTTATTATAATTTGCTTTAAGCTTAATTGCCACACAGTTGTCTTAACACTTTTGGCAATGAAAAAGAAATTAAACATTTAAAAAATCCTTACTGGTGTAATACTGTAATTAATTCTGATGAGGTGCATTTATTTTGATAAGTTCTAGTATTGTAATAACGAACTCTGGTGTAGTTCCCCTGAGCAGTTTTGTGACAGAGCTGTTATGGTTTATGTCCTGACCAAGTTTTGTGTATTTCATTCAGTGTTTTGTTTGACATATTCAGAAATTTTAATAGATGTTCTTTACATTTACATCATCAGTAAAGGTGTTTTTTTTTTTTTTGGCCTTTAAATGGCAAACGTTAATGTCATTTATGTCATTAATGTCGAACCCTCCACATCTCAGCCAGCTTTTATGTTTGAGGGGAACATGGAACAATTAGAAATTGGGGGCTAAACTCAACATAAGGCCTTTCTTCATCACGTTAAAGAAAAAAAAGACATTCTGTGCTGTAGCCTCAAGGTCATATTGTGACAGTAAATTAACACAATTAATATTCAGTTCCAAAGTCTGTTGCTAGAGCCCCTTTTACATTCATTAAATCAATGCTTTTATAGACTAAAATGTTGTTTTTATAAAATTGTGAGAAAATATAAATAATATCCACGATAAACACAAAAGTCACAATGCACAGTTCATCTAACAAGGTAATTCAATAACAGCTTTGGTTGACAAGCAACATAATTTGGCGCATTACTGCAGACTAGATGTAAGAGTTATTTGTGAGTAAACCTAACAATTTATAATGGTGGTCTGGTAACACACTTTTATTTGTTATACTTAGCCAGTAATTCTATTTTGTATTCAGAAAAAAAAATTATTCCCAGACATTCAGAGGTGGCAGTCCCAAACATTCAGAAGTGGCAGAAATGCACAAATCCCTTATTTAAGTAAAAGTACTAGTAATCTATTAAAAAAATACTCAAGTAAAAGTTGAAGTGTGACACACACACACACACACGCACACACACACACACACACACACACACACACACACACACACACAAAATGTGCTAATGCCCTGCAGTGTCATTACAACCAGCTGTGCAGTCATCACCCTATATATTCATCACTGAGACGGGGCTGCTGGTTTAACCCCTAAATCACTACAGATATACACTTGGATGTAATATTTACAGTTTGAGCGTTCTTGTGCTGTGAGTTTATTTATTCACAGTATCTGGCCCAAAACTCTACAAGTCCACCGGGAATTTTCTCAACTCTTGTAATTTCCTACTCTGTCGCTGAGTAAGGCCATGGGTGCGGGTTTTCATCATTTGCACTAAGCACTGGCTCGACGCTGTCATGTTGTACGGATTGCGTTGTCTCGTCTGTTTATTTTTCTTCGTTGTCCCGCATGCTTACTGCTGAGGCCTGTAAGCCGTGGAAGTAGCCAATTTATAGAAATAGAATAGATAGATTGTTGAAACCAAAGAAACAAGGCTGTTTTGACAATGTAGTGAGTAAAAAGATTTTTCATTTAAAATGTAGTGAGTAAAAATAAAAAAAAATATTAAGTGACAAATACAGCACATAATGTACAGACACCAAAAACATTTACTTAAGTACAGTAATGAAGTACTTGTTACTTTCCACCTCTGCTAGCATTCCAGTACTGAGATCCTGTTTTACTTTAGTGGCTTCTTGAGGTAGTGTGCATTTTTGAAGCCTGGGGTTAAGAGAGTGGAAAGCTCTGAAATTCACTCATGTAGATGTGAACACTATATTTACCATTTGTAGTGGGGGTATGCAACCGGTATGTGTATGATGACATTCTGCTTTTGTACTTGGTAAGTCATTTTTTAAGTTCTACCCTATATTCTAAAATCTAACTGCTTTGATGTGCCTCTCACTCAATGCCAGCTGTGTGGCAGTGTTATTGTTTATTTGTTAAATTGGTATGTTCATTTTAACATTGTTGAGTAAGATTGTTTGTAGGTGAGTTTAATGTTAATTTATTCTATGTATTACCAGAGGTTAGATAATGTTCTGTCGTTTTGCGAAACAGCTTGCGTAAGGCGAAATATTGGTGTTTATTTCAGCTTAGTTTGTTGAAAAAGCTACAGTCTCAGGTTGTTGCAATGTGAAGAAATCCTTCTCCATTAGTGTTTTCATGCTTTAATTATGATAAAATATTGATATTTCAGTATTTTTAGGGACAGCATCATGAAAGAATTTGAAATATTTTGTGTAGAAAACGGAATGCGTTATCGAATCCAACATATAGGTATGTTAATTTTGTAATATTATTAAATGACTTTTCATTGTAGTAGATTAAGTTGTATAAAATTAACACTGTTAGCTAAAGCAGAGTGCACCAGGTGTGGTTCGTGGCAGAGCCAAGCAGCTAACTTAGTAGCTAACTTTGCTTCCTTTTTATATGTATCAGCATTCTCAGCATGGATGTTTGTGCAGATGAGCAGACATGCCATTGCTGTCTTTTTATTTGCAGACATCCTAACCCAGAACTGATGCACCAGTCACAATCTAACTCTGTAAGCTAATATGCTAATATTGCATTGTATTGTATGGTAGGTTTGGGATGCTTTTCACATTACAGGAGCTAAATCTCTTATTTTAAAAAACATCCAGAGTATAAGCCATGAATATAAATGAACACTACGTTTACCATTTGATGGCTGTCCAGTGCATTTGTTCTGAATACATATTGCTTGTGTTCTAGTGGAGCTGGTTTGTGTGCAGTGGAGGTGGGACGATGTGCACTTCCCTACCTGACTGCTGCTGGAGACAGTCAGCGTTTCTTCGTTACTCCAAAGCGAGCAACAGTGGCCTGTCCTCCAAAAGTAAGATCTTTCTGAACTGCTTCTAAACTAAAGTGATTCAAACAGGTTAAACAAACAAGTCTGTAGCTGCAGCTAATTTTCTTATTTATAAACGACATTTTACCTACAGAACACGTTCATTTCAGATTGTAAAAACAAATCTATTCTCAATTATGTCATGTTGAGCTAAAAAGGAATGTCGCTGCTCTAAATAATGACTTTTACGTATTAAATTTTTGCTGCTGCTTCTCGCTGTTTGTGTGCAAATCAGAAGGCACTTCTGTTGCTGAAAAGAGGAGCGAGGTATTTGTCTGTTTTCTGTAAATCCCTGCCCCTGTACTTTTCCTCAATTTATTGGTAGTGCGTGATCCACAGGATCCACTAGAGTATCTTGCGGTGCGGGTCAAATTTCCGCAAGTGGGAGCGGAATGACACATAAGTGTAGAGAAGTCCCACAAATTAATGAACGTTTAAATAAAATGACAAATCACTTAATAATTATACATAATACATAATACTATTTATCTGAATACATAATAATATCTAAAAGCAAAATACCAAAATTTAGTAAAAGCATTGTAAATACGCACAAATTGCACTGGTGGAGCCTTCAGACAGTCATATAGCCACAGCTGTGGCATGTGCTCTTAATAGAGGTACACATCAATGAAACTGACTGAAGTCTGACTCATGACAGTCTTTTTTAAACCTGACAAATGCAGTTGGAAACTATCTGTAGAGAACTGCAGGAGGAAGCGGGGCAAAATGTTTATGTTGCTGGCGGAAGCGGGGCAAAGATTGGTGATTTTCTGTGGGAGTGGGATGAAATCTTGCAGGACCGGGACTAAAAATCTGTCCTGCGCAGAACTCTACTTCAGAGATTTTAGATTGGTTTTGTTTTATGTAGCTTTGCAGCATTTACACTGACAGCGCCAATGCAGAAAAATTTGAAGAGCACTGAAGTCTTACTTTAGCAAATACTAAGCCAAAAATTAGACAAAGGTGACAAAGACCATCGCTTAGAAAGTTGCACCACTCGAAGCCCCACTTGTATTCGGTTCTAGGGAAGTTCTGTTCTATCTATCACATCTGCACAGATTTGGAGTTTGTTCTTTTAGAACTTTAAGATGGCGCAACGCATGGCTGCCTTGGGACTGTGCTTCTATGTACTTTGTACGTACGTTGTATGAGAGATGCAGGAAACACCGGCTCGTTGATCAAGCCCTGAAGATGGGGCTTCTGAACTCCACTCCCAGCTTTGCACCTTGCTAATCTCCGCTCTCTTAGCAACAGGATGGACGAAGTGCTATTACTCATCAGAGCCAACAAGGACTTCTCAAGCTCTGCTGCTGAACAGTATCATCCAGACTCTCTCCTTTTCGTTTAAACTGCTGAACCAGTTGTCATCACTAGGAAAAGTTGGACCATGGAGGCAACGCCTGAGCTACAGGATTGCTTTGATCACATAGATTGGAGTGTGCTTGAAGCTGTGGCTCTGGACTTGGATGAGCTCACAGACACCATTACATCATACATCAGCTTCTGTGGAGACACGTGTGCCCACCAGAACTCGCAGAAAATTCAACAATGACAGACCGTGGTTTATAGCTAAACTACGACAGTTGCGACATAAGGAGGCAGCCTACAGAAGAAGAGACGGGGTCCAGTATAACAGGGCTAGAAGCACACTGACAAAGGAAATAAGGGCAGCTAAAAGGAGCTTCTCGGAAAAACTGAAGAATACATTCCTTGCTAACACCGCAGTGTCGGGACCCCCACCAGTTTGCGTATAGGGCAAATAGATCAGTGGACCATGTTGTCAACATGTGTTTGCACTATATACTGCATCACCTCGACAGCCCAGGAACCTATGCCAGGGTTCTGTTTGTGGATTTCGGCTTGGCCTTCAATATTATCACTCCAGATATCTTCCATCATAAACTCTGCCAGCTTTCTATGCCCAGCTGCACCTGCCACTGGATTTCCAACTTCCTGACCAATAGGAAGCAACATGTGAGGCTGGATAAAATCACATCCAGCACCTGCATTCTTAGTACTGGCACAAGGATATGTACTTTCTCCACCGCTCTTTTCCATGTACACCAACGATTGCACCTCTGGGGATCCCTCCGTCAAGCTCCTAAAATTTGCAGATGATACAATGGTAATTGGCCTCATCCGGGAT